TGGTTTCTGGTCTTGATCGTTTGCTCTCTCATCCAGCCTGGGGCATGGATCCCAACACAGGACAAAACAGAGGGACAGCCTTTAATTGCTCAAAGCCAAGATTTTCAAAAGTGACTAGCGATTCTGGGTGCCTCCGTTCTTGGGTGCTCAACTTGAGATACCTAAAAGGGGCCAAGTTTTCAGAAACTGCATAGCATTTGTCTTCTGAAAATCAGACCTCTTTAAGGTGCCTCACACTGGACACCCAAAAATCAGTAGGCACCACTGGAAATCTTGGGCCAAACCTGACCCCTCTTCCAGATCACACTGTCTGGTGCAGAAGGAGTTTCTGGCTAGTACTCATAAGCTCGGAGTGGCTGCAAGATGGGGCATACAAGACTGGAAAAACAGAGAGGTTGAGGAATTCTTAGGGTTCCTGTAAGAAATCAGATCACCCCAAGTCCTCTACAGGGAAAAAATAGAGTCTCAGCTTTCTTAACCTCTTCCCAAAATCTCTCCAGGAGCATTGTGACCCTTTTGGCTCTTGCAGAGAACTAAAATCTCTGGGCAATGTTCTCTTGAAAAATGATGTGGGGTTTTTTAAACCAATTTGAACTTTGTGATGCTGCACAGCCCACAAATAGAAAAAGAGATTACAATAAACCACCCACCGTGTACAAAGAGAATGAGATTAGAGATGGTGATACAGGTTCAGAAGCCTTCTCTGGGCAATTTACAAAAAGGAGCCAGACAAAACAAGATCAAACCTAAGCATGATTATTTGGAGAGAAGGGAGGGAACTTGAAAGACCCTGTTTGGAGAAATGCAAATGGGAGCTGTATGCATGTGATGAGGAGGGCACAGGCAGGTACCTAGGTTGGGAGGCAGAGATGAAAGGGTGTTGAAGGGTTAAAGGGCTATATTGAGCACACAGAGGAGACTAAATAGATTGGAGGGTAAAAATCCAATAAGGAGATCTAACAGTAGGAATCCAGGCCCTTGAAACAAGGAGGACGATAGTGTTAGCAGCCAAGGAAAGGATTAGAGTGTAGAGGTAAGAGCAGATTTACAGCTGGGTAAGAGGAACTTGCCAAGATTTGAATGAAAAAGAAATAAAAGAGGAATTTTACCTGGAGAGGAGTTCAAACTAAAATGTCAGCTTTGGCAAGGTTCAAAATCCAAATGTCGCAGCTGGCCCCTAGCTCTTTAGTAGCCCAAATAGCTTCAAACTTCAGGGAAGTTTGAAACTAGATCCAAACTTTCCAGCATGGGTCCCCCCGTCTAGTAAAGTCAAAAGGAATAAACCAGGAAAGAATGTATGATTATGTTGGACTTTTCCCCGCTATCTTTCAAATATCCACCCATGGTAAAATAAAAACTGAAGAGGAAAGGACCTGTTATGTCATCTAATCTATTCCCCTCAACACCCAGTCAAGGCATGATTGGGCTCTAGAGTCAATTCTCTAGTGTTTGCAGTGGAATGTCTATAGAGAAAAACAAAATGGATTTATGATGGGAAAAGTGTTATTGCAGTCAGGACACGGCAAAATACCCAGGCAGCTCACAGAAACAGGCTACATCATTATCTCTTTAGAAGAGAAAGGGAGAAGTGTATACAAATTATGAAGAGAAAAAAAATAAGCTGATTACCCATGGTATGCGGTGCCAATTACTTAAGCAAACAGGATCAGGAAAGCTGGCACAGCTAGAGGCTGTGAAACAGGAGAGGCTGGGCAGAGGGGAAGGTTAGGAGGCAGGTAATCTGATCGACTGACCACAGTCGTCAGTGCTCCAAATACAACCCTTCCCCATGACATCAGAAGATAGTTAGTTGCATGTAGCTAATCAAAAACGACTTACCCAAAAGTAAAGATGGGCAAGAGAGGCAAAATGCGGGTCTGAATCCGAACAGATTACAGGTTTTCATTCAGACCCATTAGAGAGACCTGGATCAGAACTTCCCCAAAGTTCTGCAGTGGAGGAGGGAGTGTTTAGACATGGGTTTCTGGTGCAGGCCCATTTCTCCATGTGATGATTGTTCTGAGGTGAGAGTGTTAGAAATCCACATTCTAGTGTTTTTGATCCTGCATGAAGCTGGGATCACAATGGTCCAGGCACACAATCCTGGCGTAACTAAACTGTTGGTGTGTGTCAAGGGAGCGTAACAGCCTCCTTAACTAGATATTATGATACAATGCACCTAGTTCATCCTCAGAGCCAGAATGGTGTGGGAATCTGCAGAATAAGAGTCTCCTCATACTGTCCCACCACACCTGGCAGACAGGGACCACATCTACGGTCGAGAGGAGAGTTCAGTCTTCGTGCTCATTCAGTCCTCTTCTTCATCTGTGTTTATCTACAAGGAGGCCATGTAATGCTCCTTTGGGGAAGGTGAACACTTGTCCACTGGGAACCAAACCAACAGCGTCAAGCTCATTTCATGCCATTCAATGGTCATCAGATGGGAACAACTTTTGGTCACTACAAGTTCTTGAATCTCTATCTGAGAGGTAAAATAGTCTATAACCCTTTACTAAGCTCCTGGGGCATCCAGTCTCCCTGCCAAGAATTAAAGGCAGTACTCACTAGTTCTAGCGGGGAAGGGTACAGCGATCACAAGGCAGAGTTATGTGGCTGCAGCTTTAACTCCACCGTAAAGTGACTTATAAGAGCACTCCACTCCTAGAGCCAAGTTCACCCTCAGCTATTCCCATGTCACTAAGGTGTACCTGTACCCAGCATAAATGAGAGCAGAATTTGCTTCCTGGACACCAAAGAGCTATAGAGTGGCCAGCATCTTCCCTTGTCTCCCTCTCCTCCCACTTCATTTCTACTGGCTGAGTGGTTAAAGCGCTCAGCTACCATCCTGAAGGGCATGGGTTGGAGTCAATCTCATGCTGAAAGGCCACCTTCACTTCACCCAGCTGGCAAAATGGGTACTTGCTCCATCAAGTTATGGCAGTCAAAGGCAGTCAGATGTGATGCTGACCACATCAGGCCTCTGTGTACGGTTGGCTATGAAAGTGACATGCCTTAACCTGCATCAACCCAATGAGCTTGGGGGAACTTTGACTACTTTCCTTCCCAGCCTTCAGTGAGACCACCAATGGCCAGTCAGGTACTATGACCTCATTTGCAAAGCTGCTCAGGATCCATAACTCCAGTTGAAGTCAGTGGGAATTGCAGCTGTCCAGGACCTCTGGAAATCAGGCCCTATCAGTCCATCTCATCTACATCACCATGGAAACTATCCTGTTCTGGCCAAAAGATGGAGTATACAGCCACAAAGGTCTTTTCCAGCTTTCATTCCTATAAGATCTACCCACCCTTCCCCTCCCCTCCCCCCAATGACCAACACTTGGCTTTTATTTTGCTACTAAATAATCTTACAGATTTACAGCTCAGTGGCATTACATTTTGTATGTGTTATTGGCTATGAATTAGATATACTGGCCAGGACATAATGAAGGCCAGTGGCAGCCCAGGATATAACACGAGCAAGCAAAAGCGCCATTTAAAATTAAGTTGCTGCAAACACAAAGAAGGACAAAATCTTGCTCAAGCCTAATGTTAATTAGATGGCACAGTCCCTGGGTAGGCTTTGTACCCTCTCCCTTTGGGATTAAGGAGAGGGGTGTGAAGATCAGCAAGCTGAATGGCTGACAGTTGAAGGTTAACATTAGGTCAACAAGCCCTTTTCTCTGCCTTTCAGTTCTGAGACCCGGCAGGGGGTATAACCAAGGGCTTGCAGGGACCACATTTAACAAAAGGAATTCTCCTTTCTTTCCAGCCTCTTCTCCTCTATCGGAGATGAACTGTCTTTCCCTCCTCATTTTTAGAGTTGGACATAACTCCCCCAGTCTGCCAAATTGATTCTAATTTATAATGGCTCTGCTGATTTATCAGCCTGATGCATTTGCTTTCCAGACCCAGCTAACACCTGGGTCTGGCCTAGGAACCCAGCCCAGTTCCCTTGGATGAAGGATGCAAGAGGAAAAAGCCAAGCCATGATTTTCTTCCCCTTCAAAGCTGACTAGTCTCTCTTATGGACTAGCACAGCCTGCTCTGCATCTCTGACTGGTGACATAGCCAATCTGCTTCTATGTTGACATTACACTTTGCATGGACCCAAACTTCTGGAAGGGTTTATCACTGGGTACAATTCCTGGCTGCGACACAGGCTTCCTAGCCTAGGTGACTTTAGGCAAGTTACGTAGAGCCTGATTCTCCAGTTACACTAATACCCCTTTACACTGCCCAGAGTGGTGGAAAGCAGCCACTGTATAATTATATTGGATTCATAATGCCTGTAAATGTCCCTGTGTAGACAAGCCCTAAGACAGCCTTTCCAACCTTGGAAAGGAATCCTTCAAAGTTTGGAAGAGATGTTTGGATCAGGGTTTTTGGTTTGTGCCCATGCCTATGATTGCCCATGTCTATTAATAACATACAGAGGGCTTCACCTAAACAAAGGAGGAGATCTGCAAAAAATAAAAGGTTTTGGGTACTGCTGTCCTAAAATAAATGAAAATAAACTGAAGCCTGAGCACTTAAGATCCATCCAGAAAATAGAAATTGTTTGTCCGGCTTTGAAGCCGTTGATCTCAGAGCCGCGCGCCCCAGTCACTGTCGTAACCAACCATGACTTAGGAAGCATCACCCACCTCCCTCTGTATTTTTAAGTGAGAAGACCTTGCAAAGTCTCATTCCCAGAGTGTTACCTGGGTGAGACAGACGTGAATTCTGACTCCCAGAAAATAAATGCCTCCTGGATTTTGTCCAGTCCTGGGTAAATCTGCTCCTTTAACTGAAGATGGCCACTAGAGCCAACATTTTCAAAGGTCCAAGGTGGATACAGTAGTTCTCTCACTATGGTCTACCAGAATAGACAGACTGCCCTGTGGGAGGTACAGGGGGTTGGGATAGGAGCTTTCTGTTATGAGACAATCAGCATAAGATAAAAAATAAGAGAGAACCAGCAATACAAGTGTAACACTTAGCAAGCAGCATTCAGTACTTACAGTCTTCCTCCTGCATCCCTTTTCTCCTGCCAGCTTATCCGAGTCTGCCAGTTCCAGGGCCTGCCGGATTTTTCTGGAAGATAGAGAGAGTATTTTTTTCTGTTTATGATGTTATTCCGAGGCCTATGAAGTTCTTTCTCTCCTCAGGTTTGTTTAGCCATCATCATGTTTAGCTTGTGATATCAGGAACCAATGCAGCCATGTCACAATGTCCACTGCAGTGTACTATGAGATGGCTGCAACTCCAGATATTACAGACATGGATGCCAGCTCCCTTGGCATATGCTGCTACAAAGCTGGCATAACAGCAGCCACTGGGTTAATCCACCCCATTACCTTCAGCTGACAGAGAAACCTGCATCCAGTCCAGTCACCCTGCTACTCCCATGACTAGTTCCTCCACTGATCTCTCTCCAACACACAGTGAATGCAGCTCACCCACGTCTGCCCCATCTGACCTAGACTGACTTTGCTTTATGCTCTCCAAACATGGCTCTTTCCTGCTACTCTGCCTCTCAGCAACAGGTTTCAGTGGTCTGCCCCGCCCTTTAGCACTGTTACTATGGTGACATCAACAGAGACCTAAGTAGGCCCCAGGGACAGAGACATGCAGCCAGTATGATTATGATCACAAAGCCCTCAGAGGAGCAGGAGCTGGCAGCTGGTGAGTTACAGGGACATAAGTGTGTGGGGCAGGCACCTGCGCAGTTCCATCTACTTGTAATGGGAACATTTGCAATCCAGCCTGAGCTATTCAAGCTGTATTCAGACACAGGCCTTAGGAAAAAAAAGTCCTACAGAATTTAATCAAATTACTAATCTTTCTATAGACTTTTGGGCCATCCAGTGGCATTTAATTGTATCCCTGCTTTAGGATAATGTAAAAAAATACAGAAAAGTTACCATTTTCTCTTCTCTGCTATAGTTTATTTTGGAATACGGTAATTGCTACAGAACCCCATTACATCTCCATATAACCGTGTTACATTCTATAACTTGTTTCCCTAAGGGAGTTTGCATTTTTAATGACTATGTTAATACTTAGCACTTACATAGTGCCTTCCATCCAAGGATCTCCAAGCACTTCACAGAGGTGACTAAGCATACTTATCCCTATTTTACAAATGGAGAAATTGAGGCACAGAGATTAAGGCCCCTGATTTCGAATACCTCTGTTTTTAGATGTCCAACTTGAGACACTTTCATCCCAATTTTGCCAAGTGTTGAGAACCCACAACTCCAACTGCCACCAACAGGACTTGTGGGTACAGAGCAGCTCTGTAACTTGGGCCCAGAGTGCTTTGAGATGGACACCCAGAATTTAAGGCACCCAAAAATCAGTGGCCGAGCTTAAAAACGTAGCTGTCAATGATTTCTCCAATACCACTCAGCAAGTCTCCAGCACAGATGGAATTAGGAACCCAGTCTCCTGTCTCCCACTCCTATGCCTCCCATAATCATGCTCATAAAACCTCAAGAAGCACAATAAATGTGGAAAAACCTTTCAACAGATCATTGTGGAGCAGACAGGTGGAGAAGAGGGCTTCCACGCAGAGCTCAGAGGAGAGACTGTGGCAGGGAAGCTGGTCAACAGGGGAGAAATCAGTGACTTCACAAAGATCTGTCTGTGACATGTGAATCAATCAAGATCAGTTCTAAGCCAAACCTCTGCCAAGCAACAAGCTAAAGTAACCTGCAAGCCATCCATATACCTACCGAGATCTTCTCCCCCCTTATTATTATCTCTAGACTCTATTGCTTCTATTATGGTAACGCTGCTCTAGAGCCATAGATTATAAGGTCAGAAGGGACCACAACAATCTAGCACCACAATACTCAATTAGATCTACCCATGGGCCAATTTGAGAATGTTATGACAAGAGGCAGGCCATTTGCGCAGACAGCTGACAAAATAATTATAAAAAAAGCTTCAGCTGCCAATATATAAAGACCTTGATTACAACATAAGTATTAGTGTTTCTATCTTTTAACAAAGTTTATAAATCAACAATATTACCTGTGTTTGTGGCGATCTCTAATGGGAGAGGTGACATTGACGATCTCTGGCAAGCTTTGTGAAGAGTGGTTTACAGGAGGTCAGAGCAAGGCACATGCACTGGTGAAGATCTCATCTGGCAGGCAATTACGGTGTTGGTGTTTTATAATGTTCATGGTAGAAAACCCAGATTTGCAGAGCTACGTTGATCCGAACCTCATTAAAAGATAGATGACTAGATTCTGGCTATTCTGAAATTGGTCAGCGTACTGAGTCCAGAAATCACCAAGTCCCACTTCTCTGAATTTTGCCTTCAAGGCATCTGAGCTCTGGGGCCTTACAATTTCTAATTAAAGGCACCTTCATCAATTGAGTCAAGACTGTTCTTTGCTTCAGAAGGGCAAGGTCCATCGGCAGAAGAGACAACAAACAGATCATGAACAAATCAAAGCAAATCCTTTGGAATTTTAAAATTCTCAATCGCATTTTAAAATTTTTGATCAAATTGTTTAGGAATTCTTGCATCATTTTCATTGAAGTTTTATCAGTATCAACAACACAATGTGGGAAAGTGCAACATCTTTCCTGTAAAGATTTCAAGATTCCTCTGAAAGGCACACACTTTTTCAAATAGATCCTCAGCACTGCTTGCACGGCCTTGGAGCTGCAAGTTGAGGGAATTCAAGTGACCAGTCATATCGCACAGAAAAGCCACCTGTGACATGGGGGGGGACATCATTCATATATTCCAGGAACTCACAAGCCTTGTTGGTCTTGTGGTCTGAAAGAAATTCTATTATTTCTTTTTGAAGCGCACAAAACCTCTCTAACACATGCCCCCTACTTTACCAGCCGTCCTTGTGCTGCAACAGGTCACTGTATTCCGCTGAAACATCTTGTAAAAGAGCTTTAAAAAGACAATGCTGCAAGCTGGAAGTTGAGTGTATGTAATTCACTAATCTCATCACAATACCTATTGTTTTTTTCAAGACCCCAAACAACTTATTGCACAGGATAGTCTGGTGAATGATGCAGTGAAGTATATTTAATGAAGGGTGTATTGCTGCCAAACATGAAGCAAAGCCTTTCTCTTCCCCTGTCATGGAGAGATCTCTGTCTGTAACAAGCAAGCCTTTTACCTTTTCAAAAATGATCTCTCCTATGGTGTAGGTTTCTAATGGTATTAAGCACAAAAATTCTTCCTTGAAAATTTCACCATCATAAACTCTAACGAACAGCGATAGCTGGGAAGTGTTATTTAAATCGCTTGGTTTGTCCACTACAAGAGACATGTATTTGACATTATGTCAATCGGAAAGCAGTACTGACAAACAGTCCTCATATATTACCTCGTCTTCACACTGCCATGGAATCAGACAGGGGAACTTGCTTCACGTGGTTCACAATGTCATCTTTGTTTTTATCTCTGGTAAAAAGCTCCTCCAGCATTTCCAGTGTGCACTCCTTCACAAGCTCAGCATCCGGAAACGGCTTTTTCTTTTTAGCTAGTACCAACATTATCTGAAGAGAAGCAGCTGTTGCTTTTTCCTGTACAGCTGCTGCTGTTGTGAGAATGACATTTGAATATGATCCGAAGACGTCAGATTTTCAATTTTGTCACATTGTGCAACACTGCCAGGAGGCTAGGCTGCATTGAAGTTACTGTACTTTGATTCAAAGTTGTACCTCACATTGATGACCTTAAAGATGGATACAGTGGTTTGGCATATTAAACACAATGGTTTTGTGTTTAAACGAAATGGCATAATAAAAAGAAAATCCACTGTCCAGTTTGGGTTAAAAACTCAGTTTTTACTGTCAACTTTGCAACATTTACTCCCACTCACATTCATTTTTTGGCTCCGTTTCCATCACTAATGAAAAAATGAGTGGCTTCGTAGCTCAATTGTAACTGATGCTATTGCAAGAACTTAAGATCCAGTAAGCAGTGCTTAATTTGTGCCGGGGCTAACTGGGGCTGAAGCCCAGCACCTTGAGGCTTGGCGGTTCATAGCCCCAGCACCTCTGGGCTCCTTGCTAGCAGCGACCACTTTCCAGGTGCCCAGCTCTGAAGGCAGTGCAGCCACCAGCAGCAGCGCAGAAATAAGGGTGGGAATACCATTTGACTTCTTTGCCTGTCTACACTAGGGGCTTACACTGGTGCAACTACACCAGTGGCTGACCACTGATGGCTGTGATGGCAAAGGCAAAATCTTAGGTCAGATCTATACTATAGACCTATATCAGCATAACTATGTTGCTTAGGGATGTAAAAAATTCACATCCCTGAGCAATGTAGTTATACCAATTTAGCACTATCTACATGAAGGGTTATGTCAACGGGAGAACTTTTCCTGTTGACATAATCCATCTCCCAAAGTAGCTAAGTCTGCCGACAGGAGAAGATTTGAACTTGGAAATGGTTCCTGATTTTGATTGTATTTTTTGTGTATTATATTATTGAAGATCGCCTCATCCAGGGCCCTGACTTTGGTCACCCCGCCTGCCCCAACAACCGTGAGTGAAATTAACAAGGATGCCAGAAATAGCCCCTAATCCCGCGGTTCAGACCACGGGGTGAACAGCTAAATTTAAACTGTTCTTATGCAGGCAGCAGGCTACCTGGGGAGGCTTCTCCCTCAGCCAGTCCCCCTGCTCCCTGCTACAAGCTAGAGGGGATCCCCTGAAGCCCCTGCGGAGTGGGAGGGTCAGGGGAACGCGGAGCCTAGCCGTGTCAGGCAGCCTGGCTGGAGGAGGAGAGGGAGAGAAACAACAAACAAATGTGACAGTGAGTTTTCCCTTTCCAAGCTTTTATTAGCTTTGAGTTTGAACTTTTTGTTATGCAGCCAAAAGAGGTGAAAGTAAGCCAGTACTGAATGCTCCACTTATTTGCTGGTACACTACTGCACCTTTTTTTACCGGTACTCCATACTGGGCCGTACCTGCTTACTTTCACCTCTGCCCCACCCCCACTTTCCTGTAACTTACCAGAGTAAATGGCACCAGTGCAACACATCTACCGTAGGCATTTGGACTAGGTTAGTAGCTACATCAGTGCCAACTTCTAGTGTAGACAGAGAATTTGCCTCCTAAAGGGTATGTCTACACAGCAACTGGACACTTGTGGCTGGCCCGTGCCAGATGACTCAGCCTCACGGGACTCAGGCTGCGGGGCTGTTTCACTGCTGTGTAGACTTCCAGGCTCAGGCTGGAGCCCAGGTTGTAGGACCCTGTGAGGTGGGAGGGCAGCAGCCCGAGCCCAGAAGTCTACGCAGTAATGAAACAACCCCACAGCCTAAGCCCTGCAAGCCCAAGTCCGGTGGCATGGGCCAGCCACAGGTTTTTCTTTACTGTGTAGACATACCCCAAGAGGCTTTCAGTTCTAGGGCTTCACTTGGCAGGTCATTCCATGATCTAATTGATTTCACTGAGGTAATATGGTTCCTACCTGCTAACAAAGATTTCTTCTTTTCTTAGTTGCAGATCAACCTATAGCAGTAACTGTTTGGAGCTGGTGTGAAGAGCCAGATAAAGAATGGGTGGGTAAGTACAGAGGCATAAAGTGATAACAATATGGGGATGCAGGGCAGGAAATTAACTCCTTTTCCTTGTCTCACCCCCATAGGATACGCCTGTCTGCAAAGTCCCACATAGACAGCAGAGGTGTTCACAGGCCACTTCACCTTGAACGGTCCCTTGAACTATGTGCTAACCATAGGCGCTGATTCTGTGGGTGCTCTGGGGCAGGAGCACCCACAGAGAAAAATTAGTGGGTGATCTGCACCCACTGGCAGCCAAGCTCCCCTCATTCCCTGCCCCACCAGCGCCACGTCCCCGCTCCTCCACCTACCTCCCAGAGCTTCCCGTCCAGCCACCGCCAAACAGCTGTTTGGCAGTGTTAGCACGCTCCAGGAGGGAGGGGAAGGAGTGGGAACGCGGCGCGCTCAGGTGAGGAGGTGGGGAAGAGGTGGGGCTAGGGCGAGGATTTGGGGAAGGAGTTGAAATATTGGCAGGGAAGGGATGGAATTGGGGCAGGGACTTTGGGGAAGGGGTTGGAATGGGGACAGGGAAGGGGTGGGAAGAGGCGGGGCAGGGTGCGGGCCTCGTGGAAGGGGTGGAGTGGGGGCAGGGTTGGGGACGGGGGGGTCAAGCATCCACGGGAAAGAGAGGAAGTCGGCGACTATAGTGCTAACTATTTATGTTGAACAATTTGTTCCATCTTGACACACTGAGTTCCTTTCCCAGACCGGAAGAAGAGCTCTCTGTAGCTCAAAGCTTCTCCCTCTTTCACCAACAGAAGTTGGTCCAATAAAATATTACCTCACCTACCTGATCACACACAGGGTTTTTGTCTGTAGTTAAGTGCTGCTGGTAACAGCCACTGTTTGTGACAAGATGCTGGACTAGACTGGCCATTGGTCTGATCCCAGGAGAGTCTAAAATGAGAAGGAAATCATTGCAAGCCCCATGTGCTCACAGCTATTAGCAAATCCAGGCAGAAAATGGACAAAAGTTCTTTGGGCAACTGCAAAATGCAGCCATGAACATACACCAATGAGGCTGGCGAGGAATGGTTTGTGTAATTCATAAAAACCTGTGGGCTGTGCCCTGCAGTTCTTCCTTTTACTCCAAAGGAAGGTTTGTCTGACTAAAGACTAAGTAAAGATTTCAGAATTTGACCTAGAAGATAAAAAGACCCAGGATATAGGGTTCATTTCAGGATTCTGTTTATGTGTTTTTAATAACCTGTTAAGAATCTGCCTACCCCAGAATTTTATGGTAGGGGATAGTGGACTAATCCAATTAAAAATGCAATAGTTGATGTCATTTTGATGTTGATTTAGTAAAGCCAAAGAAAATTATCCCAAGGAAGCCAAAAAATGGGAACATCAGACACTCACAATAAACCTTACTCCATAAGGGCCTGCAGTTCAAATTTCTCAAATTCTAAAATACAACAAAGCCACATGAAGGAGTCAAGCAACAGACATGTCTTCATATATTTCTCTCCAATACCAAATGGCTCAAGTCTCAGCTGCTGACTTCAGCAGAGCTACTCCTGATTTACACGAGTGTAAGTGCAAAGAAAACCAGATCCACAGAATTAGAAGACTTGGTATATATTCTTGACTCACTTGCTGTGTTATTTTGCACACGTCACCTGCCTCCAAATTTTCAGAAGTAGTCAGTGATTTGAGATACCCTCAGTTTTTGGGCAAAAATCAGCGACCCTTTAGAAAATGTTGGCCTTCATGGCTCTGTGCCTCAGTTTCCCCAATGTGAAATGGGAGTAATAACCCTTGCAACTCTTTGTAAAGCATTTTTAAGACACCTATATATAAGTGAAAGAATTGTTATAAATCAGCACTTCAGAGGGCATGCACAAATCTCAGAGCAATTAAGCCACTTACTATACCCCACACCACAGTGATACAAAGAGTGGATTACACAGGGCTCTTTCAAACCTCCCCAGCTCAGGGCAATTAAATCCTTACCCTTTTCTTTAAACTAGACAATGACATAACCATATGAGGCTTAACCGGCCAGTATCGGTACACAACAGAGGTGAGCAAACAGTGATAAAACATCAGAGAGTCCATCATGAGCTTATCTTAAGTCAGAGACTGCCTGATGGGCTATATCTACACTGGCAATTTTAGGGAGATCTCCTATCTTTCCCCTAACAATGGTATTAGGGAGGGTGAGAGTGCTGGCACATGGACCAGGGCACATTGGTGCTACCACAATACAAATAAAGAGATAAATAATAATAATAGTGTAGTCTTGATGCAGGCATTTTTATCTCCATGTTGTCTAGACTTGCACAGATCAGGCCTAGATAACATGATGGTAAAAACAACAGTGGCTTGTAACTCTCCCACTCTTAGTCCCAGTGGTGGGAGATTTCCCTAAAATTGCTGCTGTAGACAAGGCCATAAAATGATTCCCATCCTTTGATGCCAAAGGCACAGGGCAATACATCTCATTCCTAGTTTCTACACATATCTGACTTTTAAAGGTCAGGCTAATTGTGGTTTAGCTCCTTCACACATGCTCCCAAGGGAAGAGACTGGAACAAAGAACCCCATTATCACCTAAGACTTTGTCTTCACTGCTACAAAAAGGTGTGGTTTTACCACAGGTTAAGTAAGGCGTTGTCTACACTGTCACTTTACAGCACTGCAACTTTCTCGCTCAGGGGTGTGAAAAAACCACAGTGCCAGTGTAGACAGTGCCCCCCAGTGCTGGTAGCTACTCCCCTCGTGGGCGTGGTTTCTCCCAGCACTGGTAGCTACTCCCCTCGTGGGGGTGGTTTAGGGTGACCAGATGTCCCGATTTTATAGGGACAGTCCTGATATTTGGGTCTTTTTCTTATATAGGCTCCTATTATCCCCCACCCCCGTCCTGATTTTTCACACTTACTGTCTGGTCACCCTCGGGTGGTTTCTCCCAGCGCTGGTGCCACGACTACATAGCACATGCTTTAACGTTGCTAGTGAAGACATACCCTTAACAGGCAAAAACCCAATGGAGATGAGGAACTGTAGTGTACTGTGAGGTAGACTAGGTGAGGTCAACCGAGGTAAGGAGTGTAGTGTTGACCTCGCTTAGCTATCTTGTGGTAAACAAGACAGGTGCCTCTCTCCACTAGCATTTTACAGCAAGATAACTGTTTCTCTCACTCCAAAAAACCTCAGCTTTTTGGCAGTGAAAACGTAACCTTAGTCGACCAAAGATGAGTGCAGGTGCAAAGGAATCTGCAATGTGGCAAAAGCTCATGACAGCTCTGTGTGCACTTATGTATTTACGCACTAGCCCACAAGACATGGCCCTGCCCTGGGTCTGACTGTGGAGACCGTAAAGTATTCAGCAAAAACGGCTAATTCCAAACACTTTACCTTTCCAATTACATGTCACTGACTTTAATGGGATGGCAAGGTACCATATATACTCTTGTAGAAGCCATAAGCTAACCCCTCCACTTTGTAGGGGTAGGGCTCAGTTCCTCAAATTAGGGTCTCATGTTCTTTGTAAGGGGCTTTGCTGTCTTCTAGACGGGGCAGGAGCTGCCCACCAGCTCCTACTTCTCCCCTCCCTACACCCACAATCCAGCTGATTGGCCGGAGCCTTTCTCCAAAAACCTCCACTAAAGCAGAGCCCGGTGGAGTCTGCCAACTTGTGTGGACCCTGTTGTAATAATTACAATCCAGCAGAGGCTCTTCACAGCTTTAATGCTAATCAAGCAGAGGGTGCACTGTGCGGAGCATTTTGGATCCCAACCAAAGAGCAAAGGGACACAAACTTCAAGGCTTCCCGCCTCCTCCCTGTGTCTTCTCACTGGGCAACAAACACCGTGCACATAGCACACCACGTAGCCAGGATCCCGAGCAGCTATGCTCGCTCTCACCCTCCCGCACCGGCAGTACTGACAGAGCTCCACAGCGGAGCTTGTTTGATCTTCAGTCACAGGCAATGACCTGGCACGGCATTGCTTTGAGCCAGTAATGAGACCTTCAAGGAACTCCCAGACTGGAAAGTGTAATGTCCCAGAAAGATCCGACCACCGCCACCTGCCCTCTCTGTATTCCTGACCAAGACTTGGGAACAACCAAGAGAGAGACCGACTCTCCTTCCCCCTCAAGAAGAATCCATCCCAGTCTTTCCACAAGATCCAGTGCACACAGGGACACTTTGGGAGTGTTAGCTACTAACACCTACACATCGAGCTGGAGAGTGGGTGTGTTTCAATTAAAATGATAGGCTTAAGAGGAAAGGCATATTGAGGGTCACATGCTGCCTAGGAGATGATGACAGCTTGATGTCTGCTCTCCTCAAGTGAAATTTGATCTTATTATTCATCAATGTTTTCATATCTCATTAAATACAATGAGACAAACTCACCATCCCAGAGCGCCCTCTCCCAGTGAGAGCCAGCGTGGCAACACTTTCACCTCCCCTGGACTCCTACGGCCTGGTGTGGTGATATGGCCCTCAGGCCAGGTCACGCTACTGTCCACCCCTTCCGGAGAATCAATGTCCTGCATGGCACTAGTCACCAACACAGGTTCCATCCCCTCCAGGGCTCTTTCAGAGCAGGGGATTCCCAGACCTCTCCCTGGTGCTCGCCCACAGAAAAGCCCCAAACAGAACCACACACGACATAAGCCACTCTGCCCATCCTACGCTTGAGCTTTCAGTTTCCCTGGGTTCTCCCCAGCTCCCTGCTCCTCTTCCAGAGTACCAACCCACAGGGTTGCCTGCCTGAGGTCTTGTTCCTTTGTCAAGTCCCGCCACAGGGGCTCAGGCCACTCCTGTTGCTTCTCAGTGTCTCTGCCATCCCTGACCCTTTGCCAGAGCTCCCTTCTAGGAGAGGATCCCAAGGCCTTCTCACCCTCGCTGCTCTGAGTGCCTCCCTTTATGGGACAACCCAGCTCCTCCCCAGCTGGGTCTGCTAATGAACTGTACCTAATGCACCCTCCAGGTGCCACCAGTGAGCTAGCTGAGTCTTTGGGCTCCCAGTAACCTTTTTGCTGCCCACATGGGATGTATACACCCCATCAAGCACAAAAATTCAAAAAGTAAAAAAAAAAACCACACCAAAAAACATTGCCCAGATACTTCCTGGATTGCCACCGATGGATTCAAATGGATAAATATATAAGAGGCTGAAGACTCACTTGCTTAAGCAATCTCCTCCTCCTGGATGCAGAGCCTAGCACAGGAAATAGCAGCTGAGAGGAAAAAAACAGGCATTTTAATAGAGACACATTCCCTCAGAGATAAAGGCTCTCATGTCAAATCCCGAATGTCTTACTTAGAAAATAAGTTACAAAAAGCAAAAGTTGAGGGACAACGAGCAGCAGATTTATATCTTTGTCGAGCTTTTCAGCAGAGCTCAGCAAGAAAAGAGCAGCATTTAATGAGTGGGTGCAGATTCCCAGGTGAACTGGCTGTGAGGTACGGTCTCACATATGCTGCTATCTCCACCACGCATTTGGCTGCTTTGACCAAATTCTTTTAAGACTTCATCTAAGGGTATGGCTACATTATATGGCTTTTAGCGATGGCTGTGCTGCTACAGCCGTGCCGCTAAAAGACACGCAGTGTAGCTGCTGTTTGTCAGCAGGAGAGCGCTCCTGCGGACAAAGCGCTGCTCACACCGGCACTTTTTGTCAGTAAAACTTTTGTCATTCGAGGTGTGTGTGTGTGTGGGTTTTTTTAACACTCCTGAACAACAAAAGTTTTGCTAACAAAGTGCTAGTGTAGACAAAGCCTAAGGCAAGACAAGACCTCCAGACACACAGCTCTGAACTGACTGGAAAGAGGCCTATGTATCAATGGAATCCATTCCTCTACAAGGGCGGGATATAAATCCCCAATAAAGGAGCATCAGCACAACTCAAGTCTTAGGTCTTGTCTGTATTAGAAAGGGGTTGGCAGTACAGCTATACTGGTAGAGCCATCCAGGCAAAAACCCCTAGTGGAGATGCAGCTTATTTTAGCAACAGAGTTCTTTTGCCGGTATCGCTTATCCTAGTTCCCCGAACAAAATAAGATACACCAGCAAAAGGACTGTTTTGCTGGTGTACCTGTGTCTAGACTAGGGCTCTTGTGGACAGGGCTGTGAGTTTTTTCATATAGCTATGCCAATAAAACTTTTAAGCGTAGACCAGGTCTTAGTGTCATTAATCCCAGACTCTTAGAGGTCTGGTATACAACAGAGAGGTAGAAAACCATAGGTTGCACCTGTTCCGTCTGCTGCCATACCTGCAGGGATCGACCTATTTTAGAATACAGACCTCTCTGGAGACATTATGAGCATGATATAAGAAGCAGCCTCTATTTTTATAGGCCCAATTTTTCACCCACTATTAATTACAGGCACAAATCATAGCACTTAGACATCTAAGGCCTAACCTACATTCAGTTTATTCACTGATTAATTAAATCAGTGCAGCCCTCTAGCAGAGATGCAGTTATGTCGACAGAGAAGTGTTTAATCAAAACAAGTTATATTGAAATAACCGTGTTTCTATTGACATAACTGAATGCACACTAGGGGACTTCACCTATTTAACAAAATTGCTTTTTCTACAGACCAGGTCCAAATGCTATGGATTGTGTCCACAAAATTGGAAGTGCTGTCCACACAATAGGAGCTCTCTTCTTCCTTGTGTGCACTAGATCCACTTACCCGTGTATTCTGTACTCATCAACCATCTTTCCCTCCCATGTTTCTGACCCTCGTCTCAACCCAACCTTGCCCCTAGTTTGGGCAGTTTGATTTCTCTGTTGGGTGGCCCATATGTGAAATGAGTCTGATACTTTCAGTCCAATTCCTAGGGACAGGTGTCCACATCACAAACCACAAACGGAAATCAGTTAGCACCCTGGCGGGCAGTCTCAGCAGGGAGCCTGGGGACTGAATGAGCCATGGACACTTTACAAGAGGTCTCCCACATCAGAGCTGAGGCCCGTTAATGGGGCAGCGTGGGGAAGGTTTGCACTCTCATTGTCCATGCCACACCCTGTTCTGTGGATGGAGGACTTCAGTCTCCATTACCTTTCATAAGCACTTCATTTGCACACACAGCCTGTGATCCAATGCTGCATGACTTCAGCTTCACATCGGTTTTATTGGGAGAAATGCTAGTGTAAAGCCGGAGTCATGCACTGTTGAATCACGTGCACAATTATGATGACATCAAACACCGCACAAGTAATAAGGCGGAAACTATCCATCTTTTATTAGCCTATACAACATGTTTGTATATATAGTTATCATGAATAGAATAAGAGAATGGGGAATGCTATGCTGCAGTAGGTGAACAGAAACATTGTAAAATCTTCACTGAGCACACAATCTGGAGTAGCCTTTGTTCTCGTTGAACTCAGACTCAGGTTAGCTGAGTATTCTAGTTTCTTATACTCCTGATTTTTAGTAACAAGGACAATAGAGGCAAATAAGCACCCCCCTCAGTCTTTATACTGAGGGCTAGATGGGGACTTGGGCCTGGTCTTCATTGGGAAATGAGGTTGGTATAACTACTTTGCTCAATCCACACCCCTGGATGATGCAGTTAAACCGACCTAACCCCGCGGTGTAGACAGTGCTAGGGCGATGGATGAATTCTCTCATCAGCATAGCTACTGCCTCTCCAGGAGGTGGAGTACCTACGCTGTTGGAAGAAGCCCTCCTGTGGGCATAGGTAGTCTCTTTAGTGAAGCTCTGTCTACAGTGGCACCTCTGCAGCGTTTTAAGTACAGACAAGCCCTTGGACTACAGACCCATGCAGGGGAGTAAAAGGACTAAGAACCCTCCCCACCCCCATAAATCCTTGTGTGGGCTACACGGGCTACAGCTCCTACTTTACTCCACATTAGAGCCCTGCCCGGGACTAGTGTAGAGCCCTGAGGTGGGACCAGGATCCCAAGGGTCCCACAGGACCCGCTGCCATAACAGTGGGAGTGGGATGGGAGCAGAATTAAAAATAGTCCTGCATTGGGCTCTACTTCCCATCTAGAGCAGGGGAGTGGGGAGTATGCAGGAAGGGGCAAGGAATGGGAGAAGTTTTGGGTCCCGCACCAAATGCACCAACCGGTGGAGCTGAGCCGGCAAGGGAGTGTTGAAGTTTGCTACTGGTACAGCCTACTCCTCATCCCTCTCTCTCCTGGAGCAAGGAATTATGTCTCAGGCATGATGCCGCCTGGGGCTATTCCTGGTTGGGGTCGCTTATGCAGCACTCCTTGCTCAGGGCTGTGCTTAAAGGCACAATCTATCCCAGTGGAATTACTTATAAAGTCTTACTCCTCGTGACTAAGGCCCTATGGTAAGCAAGTGGTAGCAGGTGGGGCTAATAATAATGTACATCAGCGGAGGTGAGAGCTGGAGCATCATTTCCTGATGTCGGAGAGGTCCATGATGATAGGGAAAGAAGGAAGGGCATCATATTGGCTTGCTTGGGAGGAACAGGCACTCTCTATACACAATTATTTCTCCTTTCCCAGGAGGCCTCCAGAGAATTTGCCTTTGCTGCCTGGAGATGATCCTCGAGCCATGGGAGAAACACAGAAAGAAGACAAGCTGCACAGGCCCCACTCCAATAGGAGTGAGGGTCTGGGAGAAGACACTATCTGCAACCAGGCTCCACCCGTAGACACTGAGAGCAGCATGCAGCCTGCCAGAGAGGATGGGGGCCAGGGAGAAGATGGCACCAGCTGCTATTGGATTCTTTCTGTAGCCTCCGAGCAACAGCCCAAGTACGTATCAATGCACTCACTCTGCCGCTAAGTTTTCAAGTGTGCCATCAGCATAACACCCCCTTTGTATATCAATAGCATCCTCTGAAGAGCTGAAAGCCCTTCACATCCATCGATTGCTTCACAAATCTGGTGGGAAGTAAGTATTATCCCTATTTTAGAGGGGCTATGTTGACACACTGAGAGGTGAAAGGACATACCCAAGGCCACTCAAAAGTCTGAGGCAGAGAAGGGAATAGTATCCAGATTTTCTTGAGTCCCAATACCATGTCCTACCACAAAAACCTCTCTCACTTTATGGCTCTCATTTCCTACCACTTGCCCATTCTAGTTAACACATGGAATACAATTTTCAAAATTGGGGAGTTTCTAGGACAGGCAATCCTGCATTCAAATACAGAGCATGCAGGAAAGACCCCTTTTTACACAGCTGGTGGCAAGCACCAATTAGAATCCTCTAATGTGGGATGTAGGTGCTCTCTCAAGCCCCTGGTTTGAAAACTGGGCCCAGGGGATTGCTATTAAAATAAATTCCTGGTCACTGTTAGCAAACTCCACCTTGTTACCTTGTAGCAAGGCATGTAAATGAGAACCAGTGTTGTGGATTTACATGCCTGCATTTATTTCCACTATTAATTTGAAGGCGTGGTTTCTGGAGGGTTCTGAAAAGCAGGAAAGCTTACTGGCATTTCCCTCCAGATGCAGAATGTTAGCAAGTCATTTGCATAAGAGTACCCATAATGTGCAGCACCTTCCGTAAGAGAGAACTCTACCTGGACTGTGTGAAAGTAAGGAAACCTGGACATCACATGATTTCAGACCGGCACCTATACAAAGGCTCTTTATCACTTCCTGGGCCATACACTTAACACAGCTCTAGTCTAGCAGAGAGCAAGGGTGGAGTTTAAAGGGAACAATGATGTGGCCACTAATTAGCCAGCAGGAGTGTCATTGAACAATGGGATGGTTAACCCTCACAAGATATTTCTTATATCTTTCCACCCTCAAATGGCTCAGAGAACATGTGTCCCTGTCTAGCATCCATACCTGGATAATGCATGGTGCTAAAACTAAGAGAATACTACTGCTAAAAACTTACATTGTATGTTACATTCCCAAAGCACTGTACACATATCAACCAGCTCCTCCTCTCAATTCATTTGCAAAGTATTATCCCCAGAGATGCTGAGCAAATCTCTTAAGACAACATAATGGCAGAGGCAGGGCTGGAACTCCAAAGTGCCTGGTTCTTGGTCGATGCTCAAGCCACTAAACCTTGCTACCTTTTGGATCTAGTAGTACAAGCTGGTCTTTCTAGTTTCTACATCTATAATGTTAACTCTTAAAGGAGGTCCCTTTGCATAGAAACTGCATCTGGGTATCTCCCACACAGGTGCAAACTGCCTCAAGCCACCACATAAGCCAAATGGAGCTCATCTCCATATCATTGCAGGTTTGTACAGAAATCCTTATGCAACAATGCCCCTGCCTCCCTTTCTTTTCTCGAGGAATAGCAAAGTAGGCAGGGATCTCATTCACATTTATGCCCCAATAGCTCCTGAAACTAGAACTGCTCACATGGTTTTCTCATGCCCACCTCTGAATTAGGTGAATGGACTGCTGGAAGCTTGACTCTTAAATCTGATTTTCTGTTTCAGAGTCTCCAGCAGGGCAGTTTTGTAACCTTGTGCTGGTTTAGGCTGGGGGAGAGGTGGACAGCAATATGCACAAAGGGAAATCAGCTGATGACCATTAAATAATTGATTCGTAACCCAAAATGTCATCAATAATAGTGAATTTTGTAACCACTCAGGAAGGAAAAATCAAATGCACAAATAACTGCTTAGGTGGCAAATGCTGCCGAAAAGGATCTTGGGGTTAGAGTGGATCACAGATTGCATATGAGTCAGCAATGAGATGCAGTTGTGAAAAAGGCTAATATCATTCTGGGGTATATTAACAGGAGTGTAATTAATACAGGAAGTAATTATCCCACTCTACTTGGCACTGGTGAGACCTCAGCTGGAGCACTGTGTCCAGTTCTGGGTGGCAAACTTTAGGAAAGATGTGGACAAGTTGGAGAGAGTCCAGAGGACAGTAACAAAAATATTAAGAGGTGTAGAAAACCTGGCCCACGGGGAAAGGTTAAAAATACTGGGTATGTTTAGTTCTGAGAAAAGAAGACTTGGAGGACCTGGTAACAGTTTTCAAATGTTTTAAAGGCTGTTAGAAAGAAGACGGTGATCAATTGTTCTTCTTGTCTAGGAAGGTGGGAGAAGAAGTAATCAGCTTAATCTGCAGCAAGGGAGATTTAGGTTAGATATTAGGAAAAACTACCCTTAGAGTTAAAAAGTTAAGGACTGGAATAGGCTTCCAAGGGAGATTGTGGAAACCCTGTCATTGGAGGTTTTTAAGAACAGGTTGGACACCTGTCAGGGATGGTCTACATTTATTTGGTCCTGCTTCAGCATAGGTGGAAGGACTAGATGATCTCTCGAGGTCCCTTCCAGGCCCACATTTCTAGGACTTGTCTACACTACAGGTTATGTCAGTACAATTTATGTCACTCAGAGGTGTGAATAAGCCACCCCACTGAGCAACGTAAGTTACACCAACCTAAATACCACTGTGGACAGCGCTATGTTGGCGGGAGACGCTCTCCCACCAACATAGCTACCGCCTCTTGTAGAGGTGGTTTTATTATGCCAACAGGAGAGCTCTCTCCCATCGGCATAGAGCATCTTCACCAGATGCAGTGCAGCTGTGCCAGTGTAGCACTTCTCATGTAGACTAGCCCTAGATTCTATGATGGACGGGAGTAAATGAGGGATTCTAGAAGATCTCCACAAAGAGAATATGTGTAATGGTGATTGTGCTCCACCCTGTGCCATAAAAGACCAGCTCCCTGAATGTCCTTTGGGACATTGTTCACAAGGTGGTGGATCCCTGAAATGACCCACCTACTGGTGGGAGAGTAGCTCCTGACACTTGATTCATGGGATGGCCTTAGCATGAGTTTCTGAGAGTGGAGCAATAGCAGCTGCGTACTAGGCCAAGGTGGCTCAGGGGCTCCATGGGGGAAAGGGACTGGATAACAAAGGAATGTCATGATCTTGTCAGCAATTGTGTTTGGATTGGGTTGGTCTGGGGGCACGGATGGGGATTCCACACTTGAATGCCAGGGCCACAGGGCTTTAGACTGTTTTGACCTGCTTGTTTGCAATCTCTAACAACAGGTCTAGAAAGTGACACACAAGGCCCAGGAGACAGCGCCCAATCAAAATCACTCCCCGTATCGTACACCTGTCATGGGATTATTGCTAGGCCCTCAGTTATCATCACTGACGCTGAAGGACACTGATGCCAATGGGGGGAAAAAATACCCTTCACTATCTCTTTTTGTGGCCTCCTAGCAAGGGGAGTCACATTCCTTTGCTATTTCAGTCTTTTCCATGGCAACAGATGGATGTCACAATCACAAAACCACCACTTTGCCGTATGGCGAGAGGGAGGGAGGGAGAGGGGAAGACAGATGGTGATTGAGGAAAAGCTCTGATTCTTAGGGGTCTAAGAAATCATAGGAATCCCTGATTGCTGGAGCCAAAAAGCTGACCCAGAGCTGTGGGAGGGAGGGAAGGAAGAGGCGGGCAGCTCTGCTGAGCCCAGAATAGCAGACCAGCTGTTAACTTATCACTTGTAATTATTACAACATATGGGAGTAAAGAATGGCTCTGAAGGGGAAAATAAATAGATAAATAAATAAATAAGCCAACAAGCAATCCAGGCTGCTGCAAAGTTGGCTCTGTGCGGACAAGAGAGACAACCGGTACCTGCAAGTAGGGAGAGGACCTTAGTGAGGCACCATGTATATAGGCAATTCCAGCCTATCGGAAAGTGGTCTGTGGAACAGATAGCGGCACATGAGAGCGAAATGTTACAGAGGCACTGGGTGAACGGGAACTGCCAGCCAAGAGGGTCAGGATCTGGGCAGCAGGGAGGGGACATTGCAGAGGCACTAGGTTCATAGGCACTGCCATAGGAAAGGGGTCTGTCACTCACCAGATACATGGGCATGAGGAAGAGACTTTACAGAATCAGAGGGGTGAAGAGGCCTGTACAACAGATACCTGTGTAGTAGTAGCCCCATCACCGGTTTACAGCAGAGTTTAAACCCAGGACCTTCGGTACAGGCCTCTGCTCCTTGAACTAAAAGACGAATCCTCCTAGCCAGGAACGGTGGCAGGTGGTTAAACTCTGTGGATCAGACACAGAGCGAGGACACATGACACACACAGAGTGGTGGGTTACACCTGAACGTAGGGAGGAAACATTACAGAGGCACCGGATGCCTGGACACCTCTAGGGGAAAGGGACCTGTGCATCAGATACTGTCAATGAGGCGGTGACACTACAGATGCATGGGCTCTGCATGCCAATGGAAAAGGGGGAAGAGTGTGGGAAGTCGGGTACCACAGAAGGACTTTTTCCTGTATTTTTTGAGGAAAGTGAGGAGCACTATGAAAACAGAGTTTTATTTTATTGCCTGGTCAAGGTGATTCTAGGAAAATATTCCAACAGGCAGGGAGTGAAGAGGAAAATCCACCCCACCCCGCACTTCCCCACATATTACATTTTCTCCTTGCTGTGTATTACTATTTATTTTCTGGGGCTGCCTTCCTGACCTTCAACATCATATCCCCAGAGCTCCTGGGCCCCTTTATTTTCCAGCTGTTGCCTGTCCACTTAAAGCAATACTAATGTGTCTCAAAAGGTTTGTCTCCTGGTAAACTGCAACAATGAATAGTAAGGGGTAGTGATGGGCAATCTTCATGAAGGTTCTAGGCAGGGGTATCAGACAGACAAGCTGTGTTTATATAGCTTGCAGGACACTCAGATTCTGTATAATCTAAGTTTTCATTTTTTAAAACAAAAAAAGTTTCTAGCCTTCACAGCTGCAAAGGTAACTGCGAGTGTATCCTGAGTGCAGGTGCCCGTGATGTCTGCCTGAATCTGCAGACAGCCTGAAACAATGACTCAGCTGTGTAAATTCCCTAGTCACCTATTCATCTAATCAGAGTATCCGTTGTAAAACTCAAATGCTGATGTTTCAGTGTCCACATGAACTATTGAATCACTGTTCATTTTAG